GTGAATTAAGATAATTAATTCTGTTCAACCATATGTAATTTATTTAATTAATTATTTCTAATTTATTCGCATTTTGTATTCAGTTTCTTTTCTATAAATATGTATTCTCTATTCTGTAATTTACCTTAGATTTAAATACTTTTAAATAATAAAAACAATCATAAATTATAAAATTAAAACTTATTCACATCACATTTTATCTTGTTTATAACTATTAACAAAATAATCTTATAAATATTTTGTTGGATAGTCATTACTAGCTATGACTGCTGTAACTTAATGTGACATACTATCAATGAGATTTTTGTATTTACTTTCATTAATTTGTAGTCATTCATTCTGAAGTATTTATCATAATTCTTCACAATTTTTAGGTAATGATTCATGCATTTGAACTCATCTTTCTAATTCATCTCATAAATGTTTTATGAGATTCAAGTTAAAGCTCTGGATGAATCATGAAATATTACTTATATTTTTTCTATCTTCCATTTTTTAGTTTTGCTTGCTATATAGATAGGTACATTATCTTCCTGAAAAATATAATTCTTCTTATTATTTAGAGTATCTAAGAATGATAACAAATAGTTTTCTAGCATATCTATGTATATATTGACTGTTACTTTCCCTTTTAATCTAACCAATAGATCAAGATTATTTTTTGTGAAATAACTTCACACCATTACTTCTTTTTAATCTAATTTAAATGTTGGAATAAGACACTTAGCATCATATTTTTCATGAGATTGTCTCCAAACATACTTCTTATCATCTCCTCTGAATAATTCAAATTTAGATTCATTACTTCAAATAATGGTTTTCTATTCTTTTTTCCATATTTGTCATTTTTGAATTTAGAGAAGTCTCTTTTGCTGATTAACTTCATTTATAAGTAATTTTCTGGTTCTAATCTGATCAAAAAAATCTTGTTCATGTAAGTAATATTGAATGGTAATTGTGCTTACATTAGTTGAGATAGAGATAATAAAGTTTTTGTATAATTCTTGAAGATTTGTATATCAATTTTCTTTAAGAATTCTTTGTAAATAATGATTATCTCTTTCTGTCATTATATATGATCTGTCACTTTGGGAAGAGGATTTTTCACAATTAGAACTTTGATAAATAGAAATAATATCCTGTACAGTACTTTTTGACTGATTTAATGTTTCAGCAATTTTTTATATACTAATTTTACACTTTCAAGCATCAATAATTTCTCTATGCTCAAAAATAAAGAGCTCTTTTCATTTGGTAATTTTATTCATTAATTTGAAATTTTTAAAAGATATAATTTAGCATGTTGCAAAGTTGAAGTAAAGTAAATTCAAGAAAAAAAAAGAATAATAAAATTAACAAAGTCATTGTGAAGAAAATCTAATCTAAATAAATAGTATTATTTGTAAAATGACTGGAGATCACATGATGTCTGGTGACTTTTGATAGGTACGTGTTCGAGAAACTCATCAATTGAATTTTATGTAGTAGGGCTAATAAAATTTTGTTATTAAATTAGGAAGAAATGATTCAATAGGACTGAGAACAGTGGATAGAAGAGAAGAAAGCAGTATGTTTGTTTATTACATATTTTGCTATAAATTTTATAAATTTGTAATTATTGATATTTATGTACAGATTAAGTTCCGTCAAAAGAATCATGATACAAATATAAAAATACAGAAGAAATTTTCTTGCTTGTAGAGAAGAAGATAAGTCATTTATTACAGTAGAGTAAATTTAGTATGCAATTTATGCTTAAGAACAACTCTTTCAGAAAAAATCTGAAAAAATATATGTTAAACTATAGATTATATAAAGTTTAATATAAAGAAATAATTTATTAATAAATTCGATATTAGCTTTGACTGCCATTATATAATTTAATAATATATTAATAATCACATTTTATAAGTTATTATACACCAGACATAAATCTAATTCATTAATTGCTGAATTTTTTGCTATGCAAACAAAATTGGAACAATGCTTATTTCCAGAAGAAATACGATATTATTGTAAATTTAAAGATGTTATCACAGAATTAATTTTATTTAGGAATACCAATTGGTATATTATAAATTTTATTTTTGAAACTAAACGTTCATTTATGTGTTTACGAAATCGATAATAAATATTTAGATGGGCATGGCAATTCAATTTCCACAAAATTTTATTACCTTTTTTATAATAGAAACAAATAAAACTCCACACTATAGTTGTAATGGCCCAAGCAGATAGTAGTATCTAACAAACGGGAACCTTCTTAGTACTTAGAATAAATATGGAAAATTGAATATCCTCACAATTTTTTGTATTTTGCATGGAATAATGATTATACTTTGCCGGTAATAAAAGGATGCAATAAAGCTTCCCTAACCGTCAATCTCTTCTCCGGATTAAGATTTAAGCACTTTTCGAGCAATTCGACAAAGGCTGTTAATAGACGAAAATCTTCGTCCATCATGTGAGACGTTTTTGAAAGAAGTCGCGTTTTTAAGTCTCTTGTGGGTTTGTTAATAACAAAGGTTTTAACGACCTCCTGAAAGAGAAATTAATATTAAAATTAATGAATTTCAAAAATTAATATTTATTTTGCGAAAAAATAATTTATTATTTACCTTATTGCTTATTCTATCTGTTTCATTTGCTAAGAAATTTAATTCATGATCAAAATGTTGATCTACAAATTGTCCTTTTCTAAGCATTTTATTCGGAAATTTCCCCTTTAATTCCATCATCAATTTTAGCATTTGGTTGTTGCTTCGTCCAGGAAATAGTATCTTGCCTGTATATAGTTCATATAGGGTACAACCAACCGACCACATATCAAGGGCGTAGTCATACGGGAGCCCAAGAACTAAATAATTAAGATAAAAAAATAAGCAAAGAAGAAATATTAACACCAAATAAAAAAGAACTTACTAATTTCAGGAGCCCTATAGAATCTACTGACAAGATACGGCGTGATATCGTTTTCAGACGCGTCAGATGCGGAGCCAAGGTCGCACATTTTAAGTGTGTTCTTTGATTCACTCACCTAAATAAACATATGATAATTAGAATTGACGGTGCATATATATTCAGATATAAGAGAAATAAATAAATACCAATATATTATCAGGTTTAATATCTGCATGCAAAATATTGCATTTCTTTAGGAGCGAAAGAGCTGAAAAAAGTTGCTGAGCATATATACGAACAGCTTTAATGTTGATACCAACGTCTTTACCAAATTTTTTTAATACTTCTCTCAAATTCATACTGAATAAAAATAAATCAACAAAAATTAATAAATCTACAAACTAATTTAAGATTAATCTGATTAATCTGCTATTCTTATGAGTTTTTACATACCTCAAAGATTCAAATACTAAACAAAGATGCCCTTTGTGATCAAAATGTCGATAAAGTTTAATAATGTGTTTTTTATTTTCTGGATCAGCGGCGCCAAGTTTCTTTAAGATATTCAGTTCTTTCATTCCGGCACGATACCTAACACACAATAAATTAATATAAATGTTCTAAGATTTGAAAATATATAAAAATAATAAACTTACATTGTATCGTTGTTACGTATAATTTTAATTGCAACATCGTTCCCTTCTAAATTATCTTTAGCTCGAACAACAGAACTAAATACTCCTTTACCAAGATTACTGTACACATGGTAACGATTATCCAGAATTTCTCCAAGTAGTACACCTATAAGAAATAGTTAGAAGATAATAGTAATAAAATACTCAATTTTTCTAAAATAATACACTTACGATAGTAGCCTTCAGCATCATCATAATTGTCTACTAGTCCAACGTTATCGCCTTGAACTACAACAGGTACTGTTTTGACAATCTATATTTTTCATCAATCAATGAAATCAGCAAATATATTAAAAGAATTCAAATGATTACCATAAAGAACTAGATAATCAACTGACCGGTATCGATTGTGAGACAGTATTTTTTGACTCTGGAGTCGGAGCAAACATATCATCGTCAGCAAACATATCAAATTCATCTTTTTTATTTGTAATATTAGTGTTTATGAGATCTTGGCGATTGCTTTCATTCACGGTTTCTTTATAATCAGCAGCAAATATATCAACATTATCTTCATCACGTTGGAATCTTTCTTCTTCAATATCCATGGGTTTTGTCAATTCTAATTCTTTTACAGATTTGTGATGAAGTTGTCTTTCATCGTCTGCTATTCTATCCTTTGTGGGATCATAATCGGCCGCAGAGAACCCGGGTTGATCTTCACCGATAACAAATTCATCAACTATACTTTCACCTTTGGTCAAAGAAAATACCGTCGGTGTTGTGGGAGTAGTCACAGGCGATGTTAATGACGACGTATCTGGAATATTGTTTGAAATTAAAAAACCAGCCATACTTGAATCTATTAATCGATAAATTAGTCAAACTAAATAATATTAAATAATATAAACCTTGCGATTCAATTTTCATTTGTATGGCATCGGATGTATTGGTATCTGGTAACGTATTTTTATCAAGGTTGAGTGTCAAAGTCTCAGTTTTCTTATTTTTATATTTTTGTAAAATTTCAATTCTACGTTTACGCCTTTCCTCTATCAATCTTTCTTCATCCATTTCTGGTTCGAGATCTGGTTCCACCGTTTCTTCGGTAACTGGCTGCTCTATTTTTGATGTTTGGATTCCGTTTGATTGAGAAACAGGCATCAACGATGACGAAGCAGAAGATGATGATTGACTGTACGAATATAGAAATGATTTAATTTTTGATTTTTTTTTTCTAAAAATATAAATTAAAAATTAAGATTATTACCTAATAATTGTTCCAGTAGGAACATCAATAACATCGTATTCAATGATGCGACGTCCATGAGAGCCACCACGACTGTCATTGTACCTTTTAGAGACTTCTCGATGTTGTTCTCTATCTCGTCCATATCCTATTTCGGACTCTTTACCGTATCCTTTATCCTTTCGATCACTCCCTTTGATAGAGTCTCTGTGTGTATACCATTGGTCACGATCAGTTTCGTGTCGACTTCTCGTATTCTTATCTCTTCGGCTTACGTATTGACGTCGTTCACTGTGGCGAGAAGATATATATGAACGAGAGGATGTATGATTATGAGATTCATCGTCAGTGGACAATTCGTCTCTGCTGCGTTTATTTTTACGTAGAGATGATGCAGAAGGTTCAATACGATCGGTGGATATATCGCTATGATTGTCATCAATTTCGACGATCATAGATTCGGTCGAGTTTAAGTTACTTTTACCTAAACCGTCCTTACGACTTTTATCACCTTCTTCAATTACACTTTTCTTTTTTTCATGGTGGTGTGTTCGTCTACTGTAGCTTCTATGGTGTCCATGTTCACGATCAGAATGTCGGCTGCTTCGAGTATGTTTAGAAGAGGTAGTACGAGTTTCTTCTTTACTTTTACGTTCTTTATCAATGTTGTCTCTTTTACGTCGACTAGATTCTGCAGTAAAATATTTATCTCTGCTTACTGAATTTCGCCGAGTTCTGCCAGAGTCTTCGCTCTCCTGACTTTGAGGAGAAGGTTGACTGGGAGCGGGTAAACCAGCTATATTATTTGTAACTTCTATATTTATTTTACCTATATTATTGGCCTCTTCACCTCCTGTTTCAAAATCTTCAACTATCTCCCCTTCTTCTGTTTCTGAAAGTGACAATTTAGGAGTGGGTGGAAAATCCATATTATTCATTAAGAAAAAAAAAATTGGTTCAACGAAACTTTATTTAACAGTAAATGTATATCGGCCAAGCTTAATTGCCCAAGTTATGTAACATAAATCATATGATTTAATTCCAAGTGAAAGCTAATCATATGATTCGCTTTGTGATTTATAATACTTTTAAAAGTCTATAATTACTTTTGCCTAATCTGAAAACGCAGACTAAACCATCAATAAGATCTTTTTCGCAAAGTTTATAAAATGGATCAGTTATACGTTGATTATTTAAATAAAGACCACCGTTTTTGATTAATTTTTGTGTTTCATTTCTCGTTTTACAGATATTAGCACTGCACGCCACTCGATCAACGCAAATATTCATGACGCTATCTTTAGGCAGCAAAGTTAGCCTTGCATCTCCATTGAAAGCCTCAAGAAGTTCGTAACCTTGAATATCTTCCAAAGAAGAATCAAAAAGAATTCGTGTAGCTAGTTGTGCTCTTTTAAGCCCAATTTCTAAATAATAATAATAATAATAATAATAATAATAATAATAATAATACAAAAATCGATATTTTATTTAATATAACGACATCCAATACGTCATTAATTAATTACCTCCATGGATCAGTTCAGTAACTTCATTTGCCAGTTGAGTTTGGGCGTAATGCTTTTCTGGCATATCCTAAGAATGGATTTTAGAACGATTTTTATCATGTGCGGTAAATTTCAACTATAATTAACAGTAAATATTTTATTTACCTTGTGTAGTTTTAGAATATCATCTATTTGATGAGCATCGAGTAAAGTGAACATTTGAAGATATTTTTTCACGTCATCGTCAGTTGTTTTAATAAAATACTAAATAAGAATAATATCTAAACATTCTTCATTATTTAAATTTGAACAATGTGTGATAATAATGATATTTAAATAACCTGATAAAAATCATAAACGCTAGTTTTTTTCTCGTCCAACCAGATAGCGTTCCCAGCGGATTTCCCAAATTTTTCACCAGCGGAAGTTAATAATAATGGCATCGTGATACCATAAGCTTTTTCTTTTTGAGATTCTATATCAGGGGATATTGATTCACAAAAAGATTTTTTTCTATTGATGAGATCGATACCAGCAATAATATTACCCCATTGGTCGCTACCGCCAAGCTGATGAAAAATATCAAGCAATTATTAATGTAAATGGCCATTAACTAAACTCTATACCAAATAATAAAAGTAAATACTTGTATTCGACAATCAAACTGATTATAAAGGTACCAATAATCATATGCTTGGAGTAATTGGTATGAGAATTCTGTAAAGCTGATTCCTTGAGCATTTTCCATGCGAGCTTTGACGCTAAAGTTGCGTTAATCAATTAAATTTTTGTTTCTACTCGTAAATTTAGGCAACTGAGATTTTTACCTCTCCCTCGTCAACATTGAGCCAATCCTGGCAAACCTTCCAATCTCTCGTAAGAAATCCGTGATCGACATATTTTCATACCAACTATTATTATTTAGTATTTTAAAACTTGATTTTTTGATATCTCCGCGTTTGGTTGCATAAATAACACCGTTATTAAAAAAACTTTGAACTTGTACATCAAGCTGTTTAATATTTGATGTGATAACATCAATCTCTAATATTTGACGTTCAGTTTTCCGACCAGATGGATCACCTATGGAACCAGTTGCACCTCCGAGCTGTAATTTATTTGTTCATTGATTGATATTAATCCTCTATTTATTATTCTTTGTATAAATGCATTGATAAGAATCAAGTTTGAAGAAGAATTAACTAAACTAATGCAATAACATTATGTCCCCGGATATAAAAGTGCAATAAACCCATTAAGGTTATCAGATTGCCAACATGTAGACTAGAAGCGGTGGGATCAACGCCGCAATAGATAGTCACAGGTGAATTTACACGTTCTTGAACCTCAGGACTAGTAGTGAATTGCATGAATAATAAAAATTGAAATTATTGAGCTACGCGATACACAAAATTAAAGAAATATATAAACCTTGTCAACGCGTTCACTAGGCCTCGTTGATTTAATTCAGCCACAACATTATTATCATATAAACCCTTAACTGTTGCCGAAGATACGAATCCCCGAAGAAAATAAGGATTACTTTGTTGTATTCTTTTCATCAGAGGAGAGCATGACTTGTAAAGTTTATGAAAATTACACGCGAATTTCATATCTACCTACACTTTTTTCTCGCGCGAATAAACAATCATGAGATCATCAACTTTGATCGCCATTGGTAATACATGTATCACAATATAATAAAAAGAATAATTGTGCGTGTGGTCTGGTCCGTCTACCTCATATTACGCTAGAATGTCTCTTGAAAATTTTATTCAACCCATTCCAATTCCAACCTCCTCTTATGCTACTTTGGCATCTGAAGAACATTTACCTGTCGTATCTAGTGAGAGTTCTCATTCAGCACAAAGAGACATTTCACCACCACAAACAGAAATTAGTGTACAAACACCTCACACTCGGTCACAAGCGATCACCGTGCAAGCCGTAGCTTCGACATCCACTTTAAGCATAAATGAAGAGACTCCACAGCTTGATCGTCGCATTCCTCTCGACCAAATACAAGATAAAAGGTGCTGGATTTGCTTTGGTGAAGATAATGATAGTGAAGGAGCATGGGTTCGGCCTTGCCGATGCACCTTAATTTGTCATGAAGAATGCTTGTTGCATTGGATAGCAGAATCACAACGTAGTACTCCTCTTAAGAGGGTTTGTAACGTTTATGAATTTTATTTTGATTCTCTTCCATTATATGTATTTTTCATCAATATGATTTTTCTTTAGGTTCGTTGCCCTCAATGTAAGACGACATATCATCTCTCTGAGTCAACAGCACCAATTTTGTACATTCTTTCATTTCTTGATTCTAAAATCCAAGCGTCAATTCCATATATTGGAATATTCGGTGCTTCATTTTGTGTTGCAATGGGGACGGTCGACTATGGGTTAGTTTACGGATGATTATATCTTCATGACAAAAAATTGATCATGTTCAAATAAATTACCTATCTTATGAAATAGGGCATTTGCTTTATTATCAATGGTTGGTGTTGAAGAAGGAGAACGTCTATTACAAGAACCTTGGAGCTGGCGGATGTTTGTAAGTAAGGTTACTTAATTTTTCTTTAAATTCAAAAATCCATATATCTTAAATTTGCAATATTAAAATAATTAATTAATTAATTTGTCATATAGTTCAGTCTTCCACTTATACCTATTCTTCTCATTTTCTCAAGAACACGAATCGCAGATCCATTAATGCCATTAGCACCACTTCTTTTCATCAGGAGCGATTCATTAACATTAACTATGCCACCACATCCAACTGTCACTCTATCGATATTACCGTGGATTAGAATGATGTACAATGGTTTATATACACGTCTCTTTGGTAGAATTGAGGCTTCATGGAGACGAGAAATAGAACCTTATGTTCCTGAAGAAGGAGATGGAACCAACGATAGAGGACAAGATGTTTTTGATAGGCTTGAGCGTAGAAATTTTGGTCGAACAATAGTTGGAGCTTTGACCATGCCTTGTAGGTTTTCTTAAATGATCTACTTTACTAGTATATACTACCCGTATTCAAAGATTTTATAACTCTTATTCTTTCCAATCATTAGTCATTTCAGCATTATTTGGAAGGTATGGTGAATGAATTTTATTATTTGTCACTGATTTTGTTAATGTACGGTATTATTTATAACTGTTCAATTATAGTTTGCTCGGCAAGTCATCTTTCATCCGATCAAAAATACCAGACCATTTCCATCGATCAATTTTATGTGGATGTTTAATAGTTATTCTTAAGGTATAAGCGAAATTATCGCATTCTCAAATATGATCTTTTAAAATTGAATTAACATTTATGGTATCTTTATTATTTTTAGGACGCTGTGGATCTCACCTTTAAATATCAGAAGGTGAAGCAACGACGTTCGCGTCAAGTACAAAATTATGAAGAATTCGCTCATGAAGAAAGAGCAAGGAGAAGTCACAATCAACGGCGCAGAGCTTGAGGAAGGGGAGAAAACCTTGATAACATAAACATATAAGCATATTAATTAGATTAAATTAATTTTTGGCTATTTTGTAATAAACTAAAGCTTCAATAAAGACTCGGTAAATATTTGATTTCCTTGTGTTATGTCATACATTTTCACGTGTATAATCAAGATTATAATGAATTTTATTACTTTTATTAGAATTAAAAAAACTTTGTTACTAACACTTTTAAATAACAAAATTTATCATTGTAAATATGATTTTTAAATAAAATAACGTTTAATTTGATGAATCAAATGCATTGAATAACGATGATTAACTTGACGATTAATGGAATGAATATATACAAATGATGACTAGTTCTATCGCTATCAGATAATGCAATGCATGAGGAATTTACTAGTTTACAAATTACTTTCTAACAAAATATAATAATACTAAATGAAATCAATTCATATTATAATGTTCACTGCATCTCATTACTCGCTGAGTATTATTAGTACTCTTTTTCCTATTTAAAGTTTGTTTCACAAAGCTTCCACCATTCGCTTTATTGTCATCAATAACTTCAACAGTAGGTCCCGTACTCGAATACACACCATCCACATAATGGTGTCGATAAAATTCCGTGTCTTTTTGTGCAAAATTTGCTGTCATCGCAGATCGACGTCTGGTATATTTGTTGATTTTCCACATTTCATATTGAGATTTAATTTTTTTTATAAAAGACATTTTCGGAGATTATAATTTACGATTTGATTGAAATTTTACGCGAGGAAGAAGGTGGGGGAGGTATTATTCGAAAATTTGATGTTGATGAGTTAGAAAGTTAATTGGGCGTTTTCTTTTAAAATAAGAGTAGGCTGGCTTTCGTTAAACTTCACAAACGAGGTTTAGGACAAAAGAGTGATTATCACGAAGTTATTATTATAAGCGCTAAATGATAATTTCTACAAAGTGAAACGTGTGGGATGGGATGAATTGTAAATAATGTAGATATATATAAAAGGAACAAGTCTATTATTGATAAGTACTTCTATTTTCTATTTCTACTTCTATTAATTTTAAATATTTCTAATTAATAAGGAAGGGAAGAGGAGAAAGAGGAGAAAGAGGGAAGGAAGGATTTCGAACGAGAAAAGGAAGGAATCGAAATAATTTACACATTTAAATTTGCATATACCGATACACATTTTATTGGATCCGCCTTTCATTATTATTTGTATGACACATCTAAATATTGACGTTTTATTTTCATTTGCTCTTTTTTTGGCACGTTACCGTTACTTACAAAAAAACTATTTTGGTTTGGTAAATCTATTTCTTCTCTTTCACTGAAATATATGAGATATCGTCATTCCAAATATGCAACGTTTAAAGCCTGCACACGAAATCTATAATCGTCTTTTATGGGACACTTCTTGTGTGCCTGGTGGTGAGTTTGTTATTGGCTACGAAGACGTAAGTAACAGGAGACGTATTTTCTTTTAAAAATGTAATCAGTTTTTTTAATATTTTGTTGATCATAGAGATTCCTTGGCATACAAGAGAAGTCAAGAGAAGAGTTTGAAGCGGAAGAAGTCCCAGTAAGAATATCATCGTATCTACGTGTCTGCTTTACGTGATATTAATCAAGAAATAATAAGATATATTTTTATTTAAAAGTTCCACCGGATACGTTATTTTAAAGCTATTCAAAATAATCAAAAATTATGGGATAGAGAGAAACGCATAGATATAATCACAAGTTCCTATAAAAATCCAAATTCCTCTGATGATTCAATATTAATAACATCAAGCATTATCGATTCAGAAATTTCAAGAGAGAAAAAATCCAAAATTGCTGATGCTTCTATCGAGACCAATAATGATGCTAACGATAATAATGATAAACCTACTACCATCATTTCGACAAAATTCAAAAAACAGCAAATTAAGAAAAAACGACAAGCATTTATAGAAAAATCGAAAATGGAAGCACGTTTAGAACTTGAACAAGAGAAACACATAGAAGCTGAACATGAGTCACAAAGATTAAGTAAAATACGAGAAGTTGAGGAACGTATAAAACGATTTAATGAAATTCAAATTAAATAACAATCTTTTATATGTAATGTATTTATTTTTGTAATATACAGTTGATACCGGTATACATATGTATATATATATGTCTAATTGCATGAAAGTCTAATTTTTTAATAGTAACATGCAATTAGACAATAGGTTCTACAGAGTTTTATTGGTAGAATGAATTTTTTATGCTTTATCAACTGGATATAGATATATTTATAATAAAGTCTTTCTTTTGACTCAAGTTCAGTATAAAATATCTACATTTTCATTGTTTGTTGATTCATTCAAATCACACCAACATTTCACCCACTCATTTTCAAGTAATTCTGACCAGATAAAGCATTCACATCCAACTCCATCTAATCCCCCGTATTTTTCATCATCGCCATTTCCTTCCCGAAATACTTCAATCGCGCTTGCCAACCATTTGATCACTTTTTTACTGACATTGTATGCTATCTCAATTTCGCGGAACATACTTGGAGAGAAATTAAATTCCAATAACCAAGGCTTTCCATCCTCGGTAATTAAAATATCACCACCGAGTAATGTGAACCCGCGTGATTTTTCATATTTATTTAATTGTCCACGCAATGTTCTGAATACATCATTCATTAGATTAACAATACGCGGAAATGATTGTGCATAGAGAGATGGCCACCATTCTTGAAATAAATAAACTCGTTTTTGCCCACGTTCTCTTCTCAATTGAAAGCAAATATTGGTTAAATGCGCATCGACATCATCATCTTTTGAATTATACTTTTGTGCTGCCACTCGAACAATACAATCATGTAATAGATAAGCTTGCAAATGACCTTCGTGGAATAATAAAAGCAAATACACTCGAATGTCGAATTTATGTTGATCTGATGTAAGATGCAAACGTGGTAACTGTGGTTGTAAAATATATGTCTGTGAAATATCCATCAAATGTCTCGATAACAAATAAGATTCTAATGGCGCTGGATGACGTAATAATACTATACCATTTGCACCTTCCTTACGTGAATCTTTGAGAAACCAGTGATGAACTTCATCATTATATTCTCTTATCAATTGATCGACTCTTTGGTCATTAGGATTTAAGATTTTGCATCGACGTTGAATTAGAATTGTAGGCGGGAAATAATCTTTTTCACAAAGTTTTGACGCCAAACTAAATTTTTCTATAAGAACATTCAAACCAGGGATAATATTACGAATATAGAATGGTGAAGTAATAAATTGTGGTGGTGGCGATGATGCTGGTGGTGGAGATGACAATGACGAACAAGGGTCTTCTTTATTAACAACGGGAACTTTAATAGTAGACGTGGTGTTATAGATTGGAAATCGATAATGGCATCGTTCAATATGACGATCTGTATAAGTCATACGCGGTAACGGATTGGATCTTTTGTCATTTGGTTCCTCCGATATTTCCATGTTATAGTTTAGACAAGTAGCTTTGCACCAATTGGGACGTGAACTTAACAGTTCTCCTAATAAACGACAATATGACCACCTAAAACAAGAAACCTGTAATTGATATTATTGAAATTTTCTAGATTCATGATATGATCTAACCTTCCAATAATCTCATAGTATAAAGTCCTCGTCTCAGTCTTAACGACTGAACATTCTTGTTGACATTCTTCTAAACTACTATTAATTATATCATTCAGGCAACTTTTGGAAGCATTATCGATTATCTTCAAGATCGATAAGTTCTGTCTGTTTCCTTCTAGTTCTTTTTGTAGCCCATATTTTTCTTCGCTAAATTCTTCAAACTTCTTTAATATAAATTGTTTAAAAAGTTCGAACCGACTCATAGGCCGAAAACTTTTACGATGGATCAATAATTTGATTATGGCATATTGTAATCCAGTCTAGTACATTTCTAAATTAGATTTGTGTTACCAAATCTTAGATCGAATTTTTTTAAAAATTCGATGAATTTCTATTGGCTTTTTTACGCTTTTTTTTCATTTTTTAGACCATTATATTTTATTAAAAGAGTGACCAGAATGTTTAGTTATACTAAGTATTCAATCACGAATATATAACCTGTCAGAATCCACAATTTGTTCGCCCGGATCCACGTTTTCTAAAAAGATACATCTTTACTCAAAATATGGCTTTTACATTGTACAGGTATTAATATTACTATATCATTTATTTCAGTACTTAGTTACAATGAATCAAAATCACTTGCAAAAGACCTTCCATATCGATATCTTTTTAGTGATCCTATTATGTTATAGGATTATATTCATGTGAAACCAAAAAAGAATAACAAGTATAACATGCATTACTAAATGTGATTCTTGAAAAACTTTTAATACTTATTAAATATTTTTCTCTACTTATGACTATGAAAGACAGTTTGAATCAGTTTTTAGTTTGTGAAAAACTTTACAATCAAATTATGATTATTTATAATGATTAGAAAACTCTTCGTATCAAGTTTCTTTTTTATTTAAAAATTATAATAGAAAATATAATTGATTTGCTATTAATAATAATAATTTAGATTATCAAATATCTTTTATATTTGATATTGAAATTCAAGTTTTAATATTTGATTCACAAATAGATAATTTACAAAAATAATTGAATGAAATTTTATTAATATTACAAGTGAAAATATAAGAATAATTAAATGAAATTTGATAGTTAAGAAAAGAAAATAATCAATTATTATTAGAAAATTAATAGCTTAAATAATGATAGAATGAATAGTTTATAACTCAAGAAGATCAGATCAATATTATCAAGAAAATATTCAAAAAGAAAAATATATTTTTTATAATGATATTAATGTTCAAATATTAAATAAATCATGATTTTCTTTGAATAATCTTCTTAATTATTTATTTTTAACTTGATTATCTAAATAAAATTTAGTAATTATAAAGTTTATTAAGACTCTTACTAGTAATAATTAATATAAAGAAATAAAAATAATGCTTATTAAGCAAGTAATAATAATTAATATAATATATAATTCTTATTATTTGAAATATATTTTATTTATAAATCTTGCTACTTTTGTAATAAAATACTTATTAGCAAGATCTAAAACTCTTATTAATATTAATAATTATATTATTAATTCTAATAATTATATTAGATTTATTAATTAACTGAAAAATTTGATTATAAAATAATAATTTCTCTTCAAAAATCTTTTATTTTTATTTTTTGATAATAAAAAAAAAGATTAAAAAAACTATTTAAATCAAAAATATAATATAGTTATATTTTATATTATTATGAGCTTTATTACTTTTCTTTATAATTATAATAATCATATTCAAGCTAATATTAATTCTTAAATATATATTGAATTTTTAAAAGAATAATATTGTTATTATTTTAAGTTTATATATATATAAATATTTTAAAATAATAAGAGTAACTATATTCATAATAATTATTTACTTTTATAACTTCAAAAGATTATATGATTAATTATTTTCTTAATAAAATAATTTATAAAAGTTTTACTTTTAACAAAATACTCTCTTAATAGAATAAGAAAATAAAGATAAGATATATGATAAAATATGTATTTATTAAAGAAAAATACTAATTAACTACTCTTAACTTAGTAATTAATTCTTTCTATCAGACTTAATTATTCTTCTTGATTACTTCTTAATTCTCTATATATAATATTTTCTTATTATGCTAATTATAAATTATTTCTAATATAATATTTTACTTAATTTACTTAATAATAAGTAAAATTTTAGAAAAATTATTATAAAAATTTTCTAAATTAAATACATAATAATTAAAAATTAAAATTAGTAAAATATTAAAGATATTTATGACTAAAATAAGAAAAAAAAGAAAAGTTAATAATAATTAATTAAAAAATTATTAATTTAATAAAATTATAAATTAGATATGATACATATAATTAAATTAATAAAAGTATAAGACTAAATATAAATAATAAAATAAATATTAAAAATAAATTAAATTAATTAATATAAATTTCTTATATATCTAATTTAGTAATAATTAATAATTATATCATATACTATAGCTATATTATATATTATTCTATTTTTACTATATTATATAAATAAATAATTAGTTATAGAATCTCTAGCTTTAAAAGATTTACTTTATAAATCTTTTAATTATTATTAATGATAATAATTAATTTTAAATTATTAAATTCAATATATAACTTCAAATAATTATTATTATAAAAATTTTTTAAGACTTTTCTATTCATATTTCTAAGTTTATAAGCATTTTTATTATAAATTTCATGAATATAAAATAATTCTTTTTATTTTTTATTAAATTTGTCATAATATCAATATTGAATTTCTATTTATTTTATTAATACTTTTTGTTCTATCTGAAAAACTATTGATTTTTATTTCTTGTCATATTATTCTTTTTATTTTAACTATTCCTCTTAAATATTATTAAGAGCTAGTTCTTATATAATTTTAAATTTATTAATTAATTCACATACTCTTTTAACAAGTATTTCTTCAAAAGTAAGACTATTAAAATCTTTTAATTTAATATTTAATAGTATGATTACTTATTAATTATATATTAATTGAAAGAGTTCAAATAAAGTTATATTTTGTTTTATTATTCTATAAGCAAATAGAACTGAAGATAGATAATAGTTCTAATTTTTCTTAAAGTTGAATATATTTTAATAATGAAGTATATAAAGTTTAGTTTAATCTTTTAACTAATCTATTAGTTTGAGGATGATATAGAGCAAAAAGTCTATACTTAATCTGATATTTTTCTAATAATTCTTTAATTATTTTATTGATAAATGTAATTTTTCTATTATTTAATATTTTTTTTAAAAATTCATATCTTATTACTATATCTTTATAGAGAAATAGGATGATTAAAATTATAGAAGTATCTGTGATAGATCTTGCTTTAGTCTATTTGATTAGATAGTTTATAATAATTACAATATAGTAATTTTCTTTACTAATAACAAAGAGAGATTCTACTAGATTAATTCTAATTTTTTCAAAAGATATATTTACTTAAATTAGAATTACTTTATTATTCTTGTATAGTTATTCTTTCTGTTAATATATATCATAAATTATAATATATATATCTATATCTCTATATATCTGAAGCTAATAATAATTTCTTATTATTTAATTGTAAGTAATTTCAATTTTAAAGTATTCAAATATAATATTTAAATAATTATTATAAAGAACTAATTCAATTTTTATTGATTTAATAACTAATAGTAAATAATTAATATTCAGTTTATTTCTTTTATAATTTTATATAAAGTATTTCTTTGACTCTATCAGCAGCTATTTTCATTTTTTTTTGAGATATTATTAATATATTTAAATAATTATATAATTTTATATAGTTATTCAAGTTCATATTTTATCATTTTCTTCTTTAGATATAGATGATATTTGAGAAAGTGAGTTAATATTTGAATAGATTCTACCAGATTTATATTTGATTATAAAATTATATTTACATAAAATTATTATCTAATATATTAATTTTTCAAGAGAATTTAACTTATTAATTAATTACTTTAATGCTAAATAATTAGTGATTAATATGAATAAAATATCAGATAATAAATATAATCTAAATAGTTTAATTATCTAAATTACTTTAAGATATTTTAGCATTGTTATACTATACTTACTTTTTTCTTTACTTACTTTTCTGCTAGCATATATAATAATATATTTCTTCTTTTTACTATTATATTATATTAGTATAATTTTTAATTCTAGTTTAAAAGTATCAGTAAAAAAACTAAATAATTTTGTAAAATTTAAATAAATAATAATTAATAATAAAATTAAAATATTTCTTAAGTAATTCAAAAACTTTTTATTATTTTTCTATCTATTTGAATTTTTTATTCTTTTTAAATAACTTATGTAAGAGAACTACTATTTTAATAAAATCTTTGATGAATCTTTTATAATAAAAAGTGAGTTCTATAAATTCTCTTAATAAAGTAATATTAATTAAGAGTAAAAATTCTTATACTTTTTCTATTTTGACCAAATCTGGATGGATACTATCTTTTCTAATAATATATTCTAGAAAGAATAATTGATTCTTTTCAAAAGCATATTTATCTAGTTGAAGCTTCAGATTTGCTTAGTAAAATTTTTTCAAGATCTTTTATAGATGAATCAGATATTCTTTCTAGATTTTAGAATATATAATAATATTATTGAGATATATGACTATAAATTTTCTAATATATTCTTTAAAAATTTTATTTATTAGTTTTTAAAAAATGATTAAAGTATTAGTAAATTCAAATAGTATTATATTAAAATAGAATAATTCTTTATTAGTGATAAATATAATTTTCTTCCTATTTCTTGAATGCATTTCTATCTGTCAAAATTCACTTATAAGATTTTAGTAATAAAGTATTTTATATTTTTAAATAAGTCTAAAAGTTTATTAATTTATGATAAAGAATATCAATTCTTCTTTGTAACTTCATTTAGTTTTTTATAGTTTATATATAACTAGAATTTTTTATTTTTCTTCCTTATTATTACTATAGAAGTAGATCAAGAACTTTTAAAAAAATATTTTTTATAGATAATTTATGATAATAAGAATTGATCTTTTTTCTTCTAAGTATATTTTATATTAAAAAATATTTATTCAGCCTAATTATATTATATCAAAGAGATTTTTAAAAGAATCTAAAACTTGATATAGTTATTATTATTATTCTAGATTCAGATCTGACTTTATCATAATTAAAGTAATATTAAGTGATAATTATAATAATATTTTTAACTAATTATAT